TTTTAAATTTTCCTCTTTCTTTCTTTTTGGACACTCTCGAAATGTTAGGTGGTGGTCCAGAGACCCGCAACCTAGACATTTGACTGAAAGGCATGAGTTCGTAGGACAGGCCGGTGACTTGCCACAGTTTAGGCATCTGCTTTCCTTACTTTTGCAGAATTTGGCGATGTGGCCAAATCGGCCGCAATTATAGCAGAGCCTGACGGAAGGAATGAAGTAATCAACTGGAATATTACAATAGTTGAATTTTATACCCTTGTGAATTAGTTTTCCCTTGAAACCAATCTTTAGACTGTTTGTTGGGATGAACATTTCTCTGTCTGCAGGGTCTCTTCTGAAAATTCTTGTAACAGAAATGATTTCAATATCAGAGATAGCTGAATTGAGAAAGTCCTCTTCCTTAATTGAAGGTGGAATGTTTTTTACGATCCCAAATTTTTCTGTGAAAATTCTCGGGATGTAGGCCTTGCAAGACTTTGGACCAAAATCATTGTTTATTATAAAGTTGTTGGCATCAACCGCAGTGGCAAAACCAAGTTTGGCTTTGCCATTGGTGATGGTTTTGATATTAATCAAACCATCCAATTTGAGATCTTTGATGTGTCCGAAAAAAAATAAGTCTGAGTTAAGGCGAAAAGGTTTCTCTAGGTTATTGTTACGTACTTCAATGAATACGTAGCACTCATCGGTCGTGTCATCACTATAACGATTTGGACTAGTTGGGTCACAGTTCTTTCCTTTTATGGGACTACGATTATTATTACTGTTCACAGAGCTGTCTTTATTAGGAGGCTTATTCTTAGAGGGAGCGATCGGGGACTTTAAGGAGGTGGTATTGACATCCTCGCTCAATTCTCTTACGGATGAATTATTCTTATCAGAGATGATCTTTTTGACACCTTCGTTCTGGTTTGTGATTTTTCTTTTAAATGGACCCTTGCTATGCGTGATTCGAACAAAATTTTCGAAATCATCATCGTTTGATAACATGCTTGAGAGCCTCACCCCCTTGAGGGGCGAGCGACTTTTAGGTTTCGTGCTAGATTAAAGACAAGAGAAAAGGATCAACTGACTTACCGAGAAAAGAAGGGATATGGAAATCAGCCGTTTTTGGTGGAACCGACAGTGACAGAGAAGAACAAAGCCTTGTAAGTTAAAGCAGTATTAAGAATTTGACAGGAATCACCGCTACTTGATGTCCAATGTACAGGTGAGTTGACGAAGTGAGTCTTGTCAGGATGAGGTTGAAGACAGCAGGTTGTGCTGCGCAATCTGCGGAGAAGCACAAGGACGTCGAAGCCTTTGTTGATTTTGTTTAAATGCCGCAACTTCACTATATATATTTTCACTAGTTCAATAGTTTTCAGAAGCAAAAGTTTGTAAAAGAAAAAAGAGAATTTTTCTTTTTTGTTGAAAAAAAATTTTTTTTTTCAAGAATTTTCTGCAAGAAGTGTCCTGTTTCATGCAGGGTTGCCGATGTTCAATTATTCTCAATTGTAAACAAATTCAGACCGACTTTTTCAATTATCCTCAATTGTAAACAAATACATACCGACTTTTTCAATTATTCTCAATTGTAAACAAATACAGAGTAACTTTTTATACGCTTAGTCTCAGATGCTCCCAAATTTATACGCAACATTATACGTAGCACAGAGACACCGTGCCGTTATTCCTATTTTTGGGACTTGACAAATCATATGGTTTTGTGTGTTTATATACAAAACAACCAAAAGAGATAAAAGTACAGGAAGAAATGATAATCGTTTCTTTTAAATTTTGAAGTTATTTATCTAATTTATCTTTATCTTAAAGTAATGCTTTTTCTTTACATTACGTGATTGCACTTTGGTTATTTCGGCTCTACAATCATATGTTTTTGTTTAAATTTTCCTATAAAACAATATGGTAACGCTTTTCCCAATTGTGTTTACTTGGGAGCTTTTAGCCCGAAAGCGAAAATGACGACCCATTCATGTAATCAACTAGATTTTGCGTGAAATAAAACTTGGTAGCTCTGCTTGAGACCTTATTGCTGTTTTTGACGGTTGTGTTATCGATAACAGTCGATACATCTAAGTAACATAACTTATAATAACTGCACTGGGTTTTATTAAATTGTATAAATTTTTTTAAAATAAATTTTCCTCTTTAAATACTAAAGTTTTTATGCAAATCAAGTATAAAAATGACGAATCCAATGAGCAGTTAATCAGGTTAAGTGAAAGCTGAACGAATATTTGCAAATTTCCCGGAGCATTTTACGTTATAAGAAACAGGCGGTGCATAAAAATTTTGCCAGCAGCCGGGGTATTATCAAAGACAGACAAAATAGCTCATAGAGAAGTTAAATAAAACTAACAAGAAGTTCAATGCATCTGCAGCGCTTTCTAGATATCAAAATTTAAAATTGCTTCTGAAGAAGATATTTATAAGTTATTTTAAATTTACACGTAAAAAAATTGAGTGCGGGTATTCTGAAAGAGGGTGTGCGTGTTTTTTGGGTTTTCTTAACATCTTTAAACGTGTTTTTTCATTGCGGTCTTCTATTTTTTTTTTTGATAACACTGCCGTTTTTGTATTTCTGCGGGAAAAATGGATGTTTATGATGTAAGCGATGATTTGGTTAAGAAACTCAATGATTGGAAATTGATAAGTATTATATCGGGAAAATTCAATGAATTAAAAGAGAATCACTCCAAAGTGAATTTTGTGGAGCACGCTTTAATTGATTTCAAATACATCGAGAAAATTCTACTGAATGTTAAATTGCGTGAGGAGAAATGCAATAAACGTAGTTCCGAATATCGCATGTTGGGGAACGAACAGTTTTCATTGAAAAATAAGAAATATTTTCAGGTGAGTAAATGCATTCCGTGATTAAGAGAAGATAATTTTTTTTAATTCTTTATTGTAGGCATTGGAATTGTATAACAAAAGCATTTGTTTTTCGGAACCTGGGTCTGAGAATCTTTCAATAGGTTATGCCAATCGTTCCGCAGTTTTATTTGAATGGAAACGATATCATGAATGTTTAGCTAACATTGAATTAGCACGTAAAGCTAACTATCCGGCACGTTTAATGCATAAATTAGATAAGCGTGAAAAGGACTGCCGCCTGTTATTGGCCACCCAACCGCCTGATGTGCAATCCTATCAATTTCAAATGGAATTTGAGCCTCATTCTCAGGTGCCTAACATAGCTGATTGTTTGGAATTGCGTGAAACCCCAGAAGAGGGCCGTTTCATATGCACAAAACGTGACCTGGTTGTAGGCGATCTTATTGCTATCGAAGAGCCTTTCTGTTCCACACTTCTTCCACCTATGCGATATATACGTTGTGCCACTTGCAAGGAAGAGAAATATTTAACCCTCATACCCTGCGAAACGTGCTGTTCAGTTATGTTCTGTTCAGAAGAGTGTTATGAACGAGCTGTTAGTACTTTTCACAAATACGAGTGCCCGGTTATCGATTTACTGCATACTATGTTCAACAAAATTCACGGTATTGCTTTGCGTGTTTGTCTTACGGCTTTGGAATTGTTTCCTACCATAGAAGAGTTGATGGGCTTCTGCGAAGAACCGGATAATCAACAACGTTCTGCTTTTGATTTGGATTACGCCAACTTTACCGCGCGAGAGCATTATCGAGCGATACATGGAATGGTAACCAATCAACATTTACGTTCTGTGTCAGATTTATTTCAAAGGTCGGTGGTGTGTGCTGTACTGAAACATTTTATGATCAATTATACACCGTTAAAAGAGTTCTTAGGCGGAGAGGAGGGTCAGAATTTCTTTACCGAATTATTGTTCAGGCACTTGCAGACCTCGCCTTCTAATATGCATGGCATTGATTTGGTAGAACAACTTAATGAGACCAAAGACGATACTACACATTCGTCCGGTGCCTTTGCTTTCTTATCACTACTCAACCACTCATGTGCTCCCAACACGTTACGTATTTATAAAGGCTGTAAAGCCTACCTTTTTGTATTTCGTCACATACCCGCTGGGGGTGTACTATACGATAATTATGGGCAAGTAAAATCTCATTAAATAATTAAATACTTGATTATCTTTATTTTTTTGGTTTGCTTTCTCACCTTCATTTTCAGAGCTCATTTTGCGGTATTCCCTAAAGCGAAACGTATTGAAACCCTGTCCATTCAATATCGTTTTACGTGCAAATGCGAAGCTTGTCAAAATGATTATCCCACCTTTGACAAATTGCAGCCGAAACTTTTTATACCTTATGTAAATGAGGAGAAGGATATGAAAAGCTTAATCGCGTATGATTTCGACTTCGCTTTGAAAAACTATCGTAAATATTGTGAATTCCTTACCAAACATAAAGATGCTTATCCTTGCGAACAAATCAGTTCGGCAGAGGAGAGTTTGAAGATGGCTTTACATATACTAGTTGATGCCGTGCCTCTGAAAGCGAAAATGAATCAAAGCCCACAATTTTTTGAACGTTCTAAATCATATGACCAGAAAACAGAATCGTCGGATAACGAACAAAAACTCGAAGCTATCAGAAGTGAATAAGGATAAAAATTGAAATTAAAGCCATTTGGAAGAAAAAAACCGAGATTACCGCAATGCAGCCAGTAAATCAATCACTATATCATCATCTTTTTAACAGAATGAAACATCGTCTAGCGAAAAAAAGAAAAACCTATTATAATAACGAAATCTAAAATTCGAAGTCTGTGTTTTCATGATCGGGCTTTCGATTGTTACTTTTTTCCTATTACATCCTATGCGCATCCTATTTTGCGTGTTTTTTGAAACAATCGAAAGAGATAATTTTTATTGTAAAAATTTTTTCATAGCACTTTTTAAGTTTCGAAGTTTCTTTAACGTTTCTTTAAAATTCTCTTTTATTTTGTTTTATTTTTTTTTTCCTAACTTTTGTTCAGACAATTTTCCTTCTATTCCCATCTAAAAGTTTACTTACTTTAATTTATTGCCAATTGACAGTGAGACACAGTGAAGAATTTTACCAATTATGATGAAAATGACAGGAGCAAAACAAATATAAAAAGCCACAATTAATAATATAAAAACGAGAATATATTATTTTAATAGATTAACAAAAAATCATAAACATTTTGTTTCATTTTTCAGCATACAGCGTTAATGAATGACCCCTTACTTGAGATCTGAAGCAACGTAAAGCACTATGTAAACTCAACTTTTGGACGCAGACGATATTGAAAATATGCTTTATTTTCGGACTAATATTTTGTAAATTGTCAAAAAAAAAAAAAAAGGATGAACTTGAAAATAATGTAAGAGGAATCCAAAGGTGGACCTTTAATTGTTTCTGGGGCACTTTGAAGGAGATTTTTTAATAACACATCTATCGATAATGTTACACATTCATGAAGGAAGTTGCGTGTTACTCATGTTGCCATCACTCTGAATGTTCGATAATATCATATCCACGCCTCAAAACTTAATATTAGCTTGAACTAAGTATAAATTTCTTCATCTTTTTTTTTCTAATCATAGTGCCCGCCATATCTCTTCTGTAAGAACGGTTGCGAGACTCTTCTCGTAAGTTGTTTCATCATGCGTCGGTTGTCTTAACTGCACGATATCCTGTGCACTCGTCAAAATGTTGTGCTTAGTGAGACTTAATTCTCTAGTGTGGTCACCAGCTCAATCTATATAATTTTTTATGAACTGCTAGCGATTTCTTATGGGCTTTCCTGGTTTGATTTATTGCTAAAGGAGCCAAAAGAGAAAAGGCGAACCATCTACCTCACAAGTTCAAACCATCCGTATCGCAAGCATAATTCCTGGCACTGTTTTATTTTGTTCCGGAAATTATGATTTTGCTATAGATGGATGGTGACTATTAATTTTTATATAAGAATTTGTCATTTAAATCCACAAGATGATCAATTGCCCTCTGTGAGTGAAAGTTTTCATCATAAAAGCAACATCAAATCGAATGTCTCCTATGTCAACGCTAGCTATACTTTTAACTTTTTGACGGTTGTCGTAAGAAAACGTCTGAGTCATAAACCAGCTCTTAACAGAACATAATTTTCGCATCTATAACACCCTATATACAATGAACAGAATCATAGCCCAAAATATTATTGAAAACTGGCATTTCAACAACTATGAGACAACTGTGAACTTGAAAAATGTTTTTTCCGTTGAACGTAGTTATGCTGTCATCGGAAAATTTGGAAAAGAAAAAGATTGCTACAGATGGAACAGAAAACTGGCATAGTTTTAATATGCCTTCATAACCGCTATCGCAAATAAAATACTTACAAATTATAAATTGTTCTATTAATTGTGAGCATGGAAGTTAGGTGTACAGCAGTTCCAACTTTGGCGTTGTTATGTACTACAAGCATTATGTTTTGGACAAATAGTTGCTTAATGCATCTATGCATGGCTGATCAAAATGCTTCTGCCAAATACATGGTTTTAGATCAATATCCGGTTAGAATTCCTTATCTATTGTAAACGTGTCGAGCCAATTTTCATATTTCATACGCTGCTTCCAAATGAGACAATCTCTGTGCTAAATTTCACCATTCTATCTCAAATTTTGCATAAGCGTTACAATAATCAGCGAACGGAGATAGGGACGGAAGAACGTGATTGTGAGGGCCAATTAAGAAACTGGCTAATTTTCACTTTCTACATCAATGTTACAACATACGGGTTTTCGGTACCAGATGACTAGCCGACGGACGAACGTTTCCTAATGAGCTTTTCTGAAGCTTACAAACGGGACGGCGAATCTGTGAAGAAAATAGAAAACCCTCAAAGAATAGTAGTAGTTGTAGTTGTCTTAAGTCACAGGTATCGAATATATATGTAGTCAGCATACTTTTTTCTATCATACAAAGTCCAAATTAGTTGTAAAGGTATTTGTCAGCATAATTTCGCAAATCGCATTGTCTGGGTCATTATAAAAAAAAAGCAAAAATTTATAATTGCAAAATGGCTGTCGCTAATTATGCTAATTTACATCCTTCCTTCCGAATTTATTTTTCTCATTTAACTGTGCGCTAAAATATACAGCATTAGTGTTTTCAATGGTTATTTGTTGCTTTTATTATTATTCTGCCTCCACGTAAATCAAGAAACCTAGCATTACTCAAATATCTTGCTGGGATGCTTGCGAATCATATTGTAGTCCTTACACCCTGCCTTTTAGTAGCTGTGACTACTTGCTTAATTTATTGAATGCCTAACAAATTGCACATAATATAGTTACCTGCCTCATCGTAACGGGGAAACAATTACAAAAGTATGTTCCTGCGCTAATGTTAAGACAACGACAATCGCTACCATTACATTTTGACTATCCATCCCACGTCCCAGATCAATTTAAATACAGGGTTATAGCAGCGGAAACTAGACAAAAAGAATAATCACTCAATTACCGTAACATAAAACACCGTACAACACATTTACAAGCCCGAAAGATCAGAAATTGACATGCCATACAGAATAGGTGTGTTACAAAGGTTGTATGTAGCAGGCATCCAGCAACCGACGGATTCACTAGCTAGGGATCATATAATAGCGGCAAAAGATAATAAACATGTTGAACTACCCAACACAAATACCCAACTTGAAGCACAAAACCTAAAAACTGAAACATGGCCGCTTAAAAATTATAGACTGACGAAATCAACCACTAAGTCAAAAAATTACTACAAAGCAGAATTATAGAAACAGCAGTGAGGTCTTACAACTCATCGTTACTTTTTGGAAAGCAGACTAAACGACCCAATTGTCGACGACAAATTTCCATTAACCCGAACAGAGGACATACTCGAGAAGTTAGGCGAAGTAAGTTCCCCTCTATCAATTTACAAGATTATCTTTTGTTCACAACATATCGTCTAATAGCTTTCAACGTGTGTTCGATATACCGCTGTCTAAATTGGTAACAGAAGCTTTCTTTCAGTACTAGTAGTAGTACGTAGCTTAGGCCATCACAATAATAACCCAATGAAAGTAATCCAAAAAGTCGCAAAGAATGCTTCCGCAAGAATGCTTGGACGTCCGAAGAAGTGAAACCGGATTCATCAAAATTCCAAATCATCAAAAGTTAACTTGTCCTCGAGGACACACATTCTCCAATTAGTACAGACGTAACAAATAAAACCCGTATGGGTCGCGAAGAATTTGAGCTCGAAGAAGTCTTAGAATTGGAAAAGGCTCAAGATGAATGCAGAAAGCAAAAATTATTATCCCTGGAGGCTGAACAAAAAAAAAAAAAGAAGGAGGCACGTGAAAAAGAAGTCCTCATAGATGAATTTATGTTTAGTGGTAAGAATGCTTCTGAAATTATTAATGAATTTGCCGAAAAAGTCGAACAATTGCGAGAAGAAGAAAAACAAGTGCCACCACCTAAACCTGCCACACAATTCTCTACGGATATGAAGTTTGGACGGTTCGGCAGATCATCAGTTTTTGCCTGTACCCAAATTGGAAGAAGGTCCATTATACGTTCATGAAGGTCCCATCGTCTTTGTGGAAGGACCACATTCTCCAACTGTCTTTGAAATCGAAAACAAAGGTTTTATGACTCACATAAGAAGCGCAAGTTGGCGGCTACCGTTCTCCAATAGCTTGCAAACGTGCTTTGCAGGAATGCTATGCAAGGTTTATTTTGTTATTATTGTGTTAATGACCTTAAGTTCGCTTATGTTGCGGACGTTTTGGTTCTTATGATAAAGGATTCTTAAGGGATAAATTACAGCAGTTTATAATAATATAGTAATATAATCGTAATAGAACAAAAATATTATTATTATTATTATTATAAATTTAGCCAAAGAATAAAAATTCTAAGACTAAAGTCTTAAAGCACTAGCATCTAAGGCTTTCGGCTTTATTAAAGACTCTACCACACTTGAGGTTTGAACCCACGACTATTGAGTTGCTAGACGAGACTCTTGCCTACTCGGCCACTCAGGCGGCTACAAAAACAAATAAAAATGTGACATTCCATTGTGTCCAAATAATTATCTTTCATTAGAAGTGGATGATGAAATAACAAAGCAGGAAGGGAAAGATATGTAGCTTCTATGAAGGCGTATCTTCCTTCGATTATGTGGCTCGGTAATTCAAATTCAATTTGTTTTTACGAATTGAAAGAAAAAATGGAAGAAGAAAGAAGTAAATGAGCGAACTTCGAATTTTGGCAAATTAAAAGAGAAGTAAATGAGCGAACTTCGAATTCTGGCAAATTAAAGGAGAGGTTATTCTATGGCACTGAAACATAAATCTCTAAAAGAAATCTATAGTGTGTAGGTAAATTGGAAAAACAATTGTCGAGTTGTTAAATGTGTTTCAAAACATGAAAATTTCTCTTGAATTCTCAGTGTAATTCAAGTTGATGAGAGAAACGGTAATAGATCTACAGGTAACTGAAAAGCTTTAGCAAAAAAGGAACTGATTGTATATTTAAAGTATAATAAAAATATCTATTACGGCTTATAAGGAACTATGCATACGGTCACATAGCTTTTGATGACGTATGCCAGTACTCTAATATCCTCACTTTCATAAATCTTTCATTCGCTTAAAGTGTCATTCTCTCCCAAGGAGAAATAGATAATAACTTACCTACCCTAGGCAAGAAGATCGTTAAACGTACATGAAAAACATAAAGTAATCATTGAAAAAGAATTACTAATGCATCATCACAGATCACTAATCGAACTCTTCCCGCATAAGGATGCCTTGTCACGACAAACAAACGGATTAAACTAGAATTATCTGATTACGATTTCGATACTATTTATTTATTGACACTTATGTAACCTCGAAGACCATTAAGGCCTATAATAGAATGCAATGTCTACCGTGGGTTCAATAATAAAGTGAAATAATACACAATGTTCATAAACAATTTAAAGGAGAAGAAAGAAAAGTTGAAGGAAAAGAGAGCGAAAAGTAAAGCAACAAAAAGAACCAAGAAAGTAACTAGAGTACTATGAAAGGAAGTAACGCATACCCGATTTTTTGGTGCTTTTTTTATACCGAAAATTCACCATAAAAAGATTGACTGA